TTCAGTGTGCTAGTATTATGTCTAACCTGACCCTACATCTTGTCTTGCTGAACACAAAATCTGCACTTGTTTCTTGCGAGCAAAGAAGCAGCTTAATTCCAGACATGTGTTTATGGGAATGTTAATACAAAAATATATCCTGACATATTCAGAATGCCTCTATCCAAGGAAGAAAACACTGTCTCTCTAACAAGTGTGCAACAGGGTTCCTATATGCATGCAGCAAGGTATTGCAAGAAATTACTGGGCATCAAAAGAGAATGCCTAAACCACCCACCCCAATTAGCCTTTACAGAGCATGGCCTTGTTGAAACGGGCAAGTGGTGATGGGACCAATGGCCATGATCTTAGGGGTTTTTTATGTTGAGCTTCAGACGATTTTTGCACTCTCCTCTTTCACCCTCATTAAGAGGTTCTTTAATTCCTCCTCACTTTCTGCGATCAGAGTGGTGTCATCTGCATATCAGAGGTTGTTGATATTTCTTCTGGCAATCTTAATGCCAGTTTGGGATTCATCCAGTCCTGCCTTCCACATGATGTATTCTGCATATAAGTTAAATAATCAGGGAGAAAATATACAGCCTTGTACTCCTTTCCCAATTTTGAACCAATCAGTTGTTCCATATCCAGTTCCAAATGTTGCTTCCTGTCCCACATATAGATTTCTCAGGAGATTGATAAAGTGGTCAGGCACTCCATAGTTTGTTGTGGTCCACACAGTCAAAGGCTTTTGCATAGTCACCTCTATCATTAAGTGCTTTAAATGTTTGTATTCAAGATAAAAGTAAAAAGTGTAATGACAAAATCCTTTAAAAACATATTTTAAAGACTTAAGTTGTGCTTCACTATACAGTACTTGAACATTTTAGTAGCAGCACCTAAAAAAAGATATAAGGAAGACATACTAGAAGTTTTATGGAGTGTGGCTAGGCCTCAGAACAAGATACTGGCCTGGGGTAATTGCACTGAAGCATGGACATAGCATTACACTTGACTGATTTCATTAACATTCTGTCTTTTGCAGAAAGTGGTGATATATTTTTCTAGCTTGTGACATGGCAACTGATGGTCTCGGACTATTTCAGTTGCTGTGTTTCCTAGAGAAGTTCAGCCTAATAAACTACATTTCAATCAAGAACAAATGTTGCTATGTTAGTCAACAATCAGTCTTTATTACCTTCCCCCAAGCCAGAAAATAAGGAAATTTGGCCAGTAAATCTGTGTTAAAGGTTAATAAGGTTCCCAATGAAATATGTCTACTGACCCTTGCAGGTTCATTTGATGATATCTTGTTCTAAAGCCAACTATGGCTTTTGTATAGCTGGATCCATCTCCATCAAGCTTGCTTAATCACTATTACCATATTTTTCCATGTATAACATGATACTATTGTCTAAAATCTTTAGACTAAAAATTGAGGGATATCTTGTACACAGAAGTAAGCTGAGGAGAGAACAAAACGGCACATAGCATGCCTCTGCAAACAGGCTGCCTCCAATTACGAGCCTTATTGAACTGATGTCAGCTGATGCTGTACAAACCAATTGGAACACACCTCATTGGAAGTGGAGCCTGTAGGCTCAGATGCAACAGGGACTCGTAATGTCTGAGCATTCTGAGCCCAGAGGCTGAATAGTCAAAGCTACGTTTTCTTAATTTTGGGTTAGAAAGGGGGCATCTTATACACGGGGGTGTCATAGAGATGGAAAATATAGTATACTGTACGTAGAAATATGATGACATGAGCAGGGGGTTTACCAGTGCACTCCCTGTGATGTTTGTCCTGTTTTTCCAAACTGGATCAAGGTTTTGACCTGAGAGCTTATTAAGAATTGTTGTAGTTCCTTTGCAGCTTGATCAAGTTAAGAGTGATTTTGCAAGACCTCTCCTCTTTGCCAGCAAGCTAAGCAAGGAAGTTCCAAGACTGAATGTGCAGAAATAAAATGGTCTTGATTGTAACAGCTAGACAATATGAATGAATTTTCAGAATCTGGAGGGGGTATGCCCAAATGAATATGTACTATGTTTTTGCATGTATAAAACAACACTTTTTCCTAAAATAATTAGAGGAAAAATTGAGGGTCATTCTATACACGGAAGGAAGCAGAGGCAAAGGAGCAGCCCTGCACGCTCGGGCACCTCTTGCTGCTGCCCATTGACTGCTGCCACTGTCACCCAATTGCCTTCTCCAGAGCTCACATCCCTGCCTTATCCCCTCCTCCAGAGCTCACATCACTGCCCTGTCCCCTCCGAGGGCAGAGGCAGCAGTAGGAGGCAGAGACAGAGGCAAAGAAGCAGTCATGTGGCCTCAGGCACCACTAGCTGCTGCTGCCCCCCATTACCTCCTCCAGTGTGACTGCTGGGGCTCACCTCCAGCTCATGTTGCCACCTTGTCCCTTCCAGTGATGGAGGCAAAGGAGCATGCGTACATGCTTGGGTGCCACTTGCTGCTGCCGCCAGATCGCTTCCTCCACCGGTCCCTTCAGGCAACAGCAGCAGGAGATAGAGGTGGAGGAGCAGTTGCCCATTAACTACTACTCCACCTCCGGCAATGGTCAAAATTAGGGGGTCGTCTTACACACTGGGGGGTAATATACAGGGAAAAATACAGTATTTCTACAGGAATACTGTATCGGAGAAACGTTCTCTTTACTGTCATTGTCATGTCTTGGGCACTTCAAACAGAAGGAAAGAAATCTACAGCCTGTCTTCAAGAAGCCTGCAAAGGCAGTAGGTGCATATGGCAGGAAGGCCTTACTGCCCAATATCTTACTGAGTTTCATGGTACTGTACTGTAACAAAATCTGTATCAAGTTAAGAAGTCAACATAGGCCTGGAAGACTTGATGTTAGCTGCACAAATGCTCTTGATGTATTGGATGACAGCTATCTAATATATATTTGTTAACTTTATTGTGATGTTTTTGATACAAATAAAGAATCACAACCATCTGCTGTTGTGGCCAGTAATTAAACTGGCATGTTTCTATTTTAAAGACACAAATCAAGAGTATTCACCTGTGCGTAGCTTTGCACACAGTAAGGGGAGTCCAGACTCCCAGCCACAACAAGCACAACCTGAAAAATTTATAAGATGAAAACTGTCTTTCTGGGCATCTGAGCAGTAGAAATTTTCCACTTCAATTTTTAAGGTTTGCTAGGCAATCAATCTTGCAACTGTAAAACAATGTGAGCTTTCTTTTCTTTGTGTGCACAGAATCACCTGAATAGCCCAACAATTTTGTCTACACAAAAAAAACAAAAAACAGGTATAGCTGGCTCTAAATCAACACATGCCACATAAAGGAGGCCCCCCAGAAGAAAGCTCCACAGTAGCAGTAGTAAGACAAACCAAAATAAAGCACAAGGAAGATGTGTCACAACTCGTATATCTACATCCCATTACAGTCACATTTCTGTCCTGAACCCCAAGCTTCCCCTTAAACCCTATCATTGCCCTATCTTTATTTTTCTAAGCCATTTATTATAGGCAATTATATTGAAAACTTCCACAAGTTACATTCTTCCCTTTACAGGAACACCCTGCTCACCCGTCACTTCCATACCCTCCCCAGCTGTTTCCTTTCTACCACTGTTTCATAACAGTTGTTATCTACAGCCAATGCCTGGATTCTTCACATTAACATTTTTGACTGCCATACAGCTCCAGCTCCAGCTCCCCTGTTCCCAAACAATTGTAGAGAATTATAACTCCCCCTTCACTTGTTCAACCAGATCCCATTTTCATGGTCCTCTAAAATTACCCAAAACCTCTAAATTTGAGGAGTTACCATATCACTGGACCCATATTCACTTCTTTCATCCCATTTTAGCAGTTATTATCTGTACTTCTTCCCAACTACATTACAGCATTTTCATAGGGAGATTATATACTATTCCAGTTGTATTCTAAATTATGGCCACATTGTGTAGTTTATAAAATAGCATTTATGATATCTAAAGGCCCTGAATTTTCAGTACTGTATTTTTACTTCCTCAATATGCTTCCTCCCCCCACAAAAGAAAAACAACCTTCCACTGGAGCGCAACACCACAATAAATATAAAATGCAATTATTTTTCTTATTCCTTATTTTATTTTTATTTTGTTGCCCCTTATTCCAAAAGAGAAACATGTTCTTGGACCTTGTTAAAAGTTTTCTGAAAGTCATGTTCCTGGATAATGTGGGTGTCCTCAGACTGGGGATACTTCATATCCTGATCTGTCCAATCATGGACACAACCCACTGAGTGATCTATCTCCCTATGTGGTAGACCCTTATTTAACTCCACTTACCCCACCTAAATCTAACTCATCTCTATCCTGCACCATCTTCAAAATCCACCACTATCTTTCCTCAAATATCATCCCTTTTTGCTTTTTTGCTTTTCAAAACACCTTGATACACCTCCCAAAACACAACAGCACCAATAAGTAAATAAATAACCCAAAAAACCAGTTACAGCAAGCTACTAGATGTCATGGTTTAGGTTATTAGGGCTAAAATGTAATTTCTGAATGGGATTTGTAGTCATGGAATTGTGTAGAAGGAATCCATATTGGTCTGTGTTAGCAGACACTAGAAACTTGGGAGAAAATACTTTTAAATACAACTCTCAGAATTCCTCCGACAGGATGACAAGTGGCCATCCCAACCAGAGCATTCTGGGAGTTGTAGTCCAAAGAAGTAACTTTTTCTGAGCTTTGGTAATTACTTCTCTTCCTCACCTCATACCATATGCCTCAACATATCACGTTCCCTCAGATCCTTCCCCCTCCCTCGATATTCGCAAGAACCCCTTCTTCGTTACAACCTTATAACTGTGCAAAACAGGCACCAGAAGTGAAAACCTTCCGCTTCGTAGTCTTCCATTCCCCTCACCGTCACTGCCTTCACCCCACCCCCAGGGCTTCTGCCCGGGGCCTACCACTTACCCCACCGCCCCTTTAAACCAGCCTCCCCTTCACTTGCTCTCCTTGCGTTTCCCCTCCCTCGGTTACCTGCCCGGCCCCCATCTCCACTTCGTCGCTGCTGCAGCTGGAAAGGGAAGGTGGCCTTGAGGGGCTGCAGACCGCCCCGGTAATAGGAAGAAGTCCCCGCTGCCATCATACCCCGGAGAACCGAGAGTACTAAACACTAAGCCCCAACCCCACTCTCTCCGGCCAGGCTGACATCCAGCGCGCCCACCAAAACCCCCACAGCCCACTCGCTCCGTGACGACTGACTCGCTCGCGGGACGCCTCGAGGATGCCTTTTCAATACGGCAGGGGCGGGGCTTCAGCCAGTTGCTGACGCTAATTGGGCAGCAAAGTTGGACGGGGCGGGATTTAGGCAATAAGTATCACATGGCGCTCTCTGCGCATTTTTTTGCCTCCTCCTCCTCATCTCAACTCATGCCGGCACGTTAGCTTAAAGGAGCGAGCCAATCAGAAGGGGATGTGAGTCTTTTGTAGCAACGGGATCCTCCTTACGTTTATTGACGTCCTCATCCTCTCGTGTTAATTGCTGCTTTGTAAAGTTAGTCTAGGAAACATACCACTTGGCTACAGAGGCTGGATTTTGGACTTTGGATAACACAAAGGGCAGGGTGACCAAATTTAGAGTTTTAGGAGTCTGCCCATGACAGAGGTGAAAACATGGCATACAAAACAATGTAGCCTAAATTGATTTGGGTGGCTAGGTTAGCCGCGGGATTCTGGACGCTGTAGCCAAAATAATTTCCCCAACCTTTCTGCTCAGACATAGGTTTTGACTCTTGTAATGCGTTTCCAAAGCTGTGCTTTTACACAGACTTATGATGGAACTCGGGCAAATCAATAGCCACATAGTTGCTTTAATTTTTACCTGCATGTAAGGGTTGATGCAGAGGATTTTTTGCTGGAATTCTAGTACTGCCTCAGTCAGCCTTCACCTTTCCCAATTCTTCTCACCCACAGCCTCACCCTCTATTGTACTGTATTAGAGTAACAATGGACTATTAGCAATGGTGTTTGCATAGCTAGATTGTTTTTAAACTAGAAACTAGAGAAACTAGGCAGCAAAACAATTGAAAAGTAGCTTATTGTTAATAGAAAGAAACAACAAACAAACAAACTCAAGACAGCACAGCATTTAGTCAATGGGCCAAATCTACCCAGTGGTGCTGGAATCCTGTTGAGAAAGGAAATACTGTACAGTACCTACTTTTGAAAGAAAGAGCACTACAACAAAGGCTAGAATTCCACTGGAGAGGGGGGCTTCATATTCGTATAAGTATCCCAGCTCTAAATTCCACTAAAACTGTAGGCAGAAGCAAGGCCTCCATTGATTGAAGGGAAATAGACAAATGTCAATGCAATCAAACCTGAAAATGATGTCTTCCTTTGAGGAAGTCTCAGGGAACAGTGGAGAGTTTCATCTGAATGAGCACACAGAATCAGGCGACCTCTTTAATTTACACAATTGATATGTACAGCTACTCATAACAGAGAGTCTGTATGTTAGAAAGTGTTACATAATGCAAAGCTGGCTTACATAACTTCATGTCCATCTGAGCCAATCTTGTCCACTCTGTTCCACCTAGACGTAGCTCTCCAGGGTCCTGCTCTGATACATACCCTGACAGAGCCTAAGGGGTTGCACTTAGGGCTTTTAGTATGCAAAAGATTTCAAATTTGACCCCTGGCATCTCCAAGACAAGGCCAAGGACAACAATGGAACTAATTATTTCAGGCAGTGGTGAGTGCTCCAACACTGGGAGCATTTGAAAGAAACTTAGACAACCACCTGGCAGATATCATTTGATTTCTATTCCTGCATTGAGCAGGTTGGACTTAATAGCCTCATAGGCCCCTTCCAACTTCATGATTCTATGATTCCATGAACAACATCCTCTATGTCATTTACAGGGCCCTGGTTGTATGATTCTTGCATGAGAATCCTATCTCAATTACATCAGGCCTTAGGTGGCAGGACTCTACACAATACAGTATTTCCTGTGTCCCATATACACTCAGGACAGACACTTTCATTGTCTGAACCAAATCCAAATCACAGGCTAGTGTGCACAAACAGCACAGAACTACTGTCTGTAAACACTCTTTGGTTCTTCTGTCAGTTGCCAGGTTTCAGAGTGTTTTCCCAGATACTTTGCCACAGCTTGTGCCAAACCAGATGGAATGAGAGGAACATGAGTGAAGCTCATCCCTGGCACATGGCAACCAGGAATCATTTTTCAGTTGTTGGGCTCAGTCCTGGAATTTGTGGAGGAATGAAGACGGGTATGTTTTCTGCTGGTCTGTTCCCTGTTGTCAAATGTCTGAGACTGCCTAATATCAAGGACTGGGTGGGCTCAATCAGATGCTCTCTAATTGGTCTTGTTGTACCAGAAGGATGCAGCCAGAAGTCCCACACTTGTGCAAATAACACACAGCCCAAATCCATCCATATGTGTAGATGAGTCAACTCTACTGCATTCAACAGGGACTTCTTCCAAGTTTAACTGAGACAAAGATTTCCATGTTGGTCAGCCCAGCTACACGCGGAAGACAATACATCTATTTAAGATCAGCTTTCCCCAGTTCTGTGTTGTCCCAATGTGTTGAAGTACAACTCCCATTATCCCCAACCAACTTAGCTCTTTAGCTAAGTAAGAGACAAGCTCTTCCCTTCACTGAGAACAGGATTTGTTTTTTTATCCCACCTTTCCTCCCATGATAAGAAGGCAGTATACATGGGTCTCCTCACAATCCTATAAGGTCAATCAGTTGAGAGAGTGTCTAGTCCAAGATCACCCAATGAGGACCATGTGACTTGAGGGAGAAGAACAAGAATTTCCAAAAACAAACAAACAAACAAACCAGCAATCTCCCAAGATAAATTTATTTGCATGATTCTCATTCAAAAAACAGACAACCCCCTGTGAATGAGACACCACAAGGGCAAACAATACCAAACAAACATACCAGGCATCTTCATGACATTCTTGATAACACCCTGTTCCCACCAACCCCCAAAGTAGAAAGGGATTGCAGAAACAGTGAAGAATAAAATGACAAAGACAAGTTAGATAGGATAGTTATTCACTTGCACAGATATAAGATAGAGTACATCTCCATACAGATAGTGGATATCTTAGATACAATGGACATTTGATTAGTCTTGGCATTCTGACATTCATCAATTAAATATTCAACTGGGAAATGTTTCTTTATTTTGCTCAGAAGCATAACACAACATTTTCTCTTCGTCGTTTTCCATTTTTAACATTCCAAATTAAATTTTCACTTTTAAAATCCTAACTGAGCCTTCAAATGCCCATGCTGGTTAAGGATAATGGAGATTGTAGTCCCACATGTCTGGAGGGCATCTGTCCAGTATAACTGAGAGCCTTAGTTTTAATTTTATTAAATTGACTAATGAAGGGGGGCATGTAAAACACAACCCCCACAAAGAGGGCAATTTTTTTTTCTGATGGAACCTCCCACCCCCAAATTAAAGGACTGACTACGCTGATGAGGTGTCAAAATCTTTCACAGGCTGCAATGTATGCAAAGAAAGGGGTGTGGTGAACATATCTCTTACAGAAGTGACAGCAGACACACTGAAGCCCTAAGCAGATAAGAGGAGGGGGGCAGTGGGAAGGAGCAATTTCCCTGTTTTGGCTGAACACCAGCTTATCTGGAAGGGAGACAGAACTCCCTGTCTTATAACTACAAGTATTCAAGAGTCAGATATTAGACAAGACACACTTGCAAAGTTACAAATAATCCAGCTCTCTACTGGACTGAATCTGAGTCAAACACAGTCCCCAAAGAGTACAACAGTTTTCATAATATGTACCTCAACACAGAAACCATCCGTTTAAACAGACTTACATACGAGTCTGCTGGGAACTGAAACCTTGGGTTTCCTTTGCACCTGGGTGTGAAAAAACTGCTATTTTAAATTGCTCTATAGCATAATTGTCTATGCGTCTGCTTGCTCCCAAGTTCACAGGTGTAGGACTGCAGCCTTGGTGTCTGATTATAATTACAAACTGTATTTTTATTATTTCATTAGGTTGCAATGACAGGAAATAGGATGATAACAAATTAAAATGTAGTGCATCTGTTGGTCCTTAAAAAATAATAATATGCTAATTTTCCTGTTATGTGCCATCAAGTACCTTCTAATTTATGGCCATCCTATGAATTAATAACCTCCAGAAGGTTCTGTCATTAACAACCCTGCTTGGGTCTTCCAACCTCAAGGTTTCTTTATTGATTCAATCCATCTCATGTTTGGGTTTCCTCTTTTTCTACCATTATTTTCTTTTCCAATGAGTCTTCTCATGGCTCAAAACACCTACAATGTGATGATCTTTCAGGTACTCCAATGATTTTGCACAGCCCCAATTGGGAGTAAGTCCCATTAAACTTAGTAGGATATACATCCAAGGAAAGAAGCAAAGAACCAGGCTGCACATTTATTCAGGAATCAGATTACTAAATATGACATACCAGTCTTAGTAAAGTAAAAAGATGGAAGAGGGTAAAGAAGAAAGTAAGAGTATGCTTATGGTGACAATCCTAACTAGCCATGATGGCTAATGCCTGGCTAAGTTAACACTAGTGTTAACCAGCATAACAGATTCTGGCCAGCATAATGGCTTGTGAGTCTGAGTAGAAATAAATTTGGATCTGATTCAACTCAGTTCTTCTGAGCCCTTTTTAGCTGCCAGTGTATCAGTTATAGCAACAGATCTAGTTGTACCCGTTGATCTAAAGTTAGTCAGCACAACAGGCATCTACCCATTCCAAAACAACTACAGTACACTTGGCACATCTTTTGAGTTTGCACAGTACATTACTTCTGTGCAAACTGAATTACTGTGGCTTCCTCTTATTATCCTCTAGTTATGTAAAAATTGCTTTTTATATTGTATTATTTTATGCTGTTAGCCGCCTAGAGTGGTCCTGACCCGACCAGATAGGCGGGATATAAATTAAATAAATAAATAAATATAATCATGGGAACTGAAGTTTTGATGCAGGTGTTAAGAATTCAATGTCAAAGATCTCTGCACCTGTTTATAACTACACTTTTTCCTTCAACAGTGCTGGGGTTAGGGGCACTAGGCCCCCCCTGTAGTTCAAAATCCATGTATAACTCTTATGCCCCACAAATGTAAATACAAAGCATTGACACTTGATTCACACAGACACGTACGTACAGAGAGAGAGAGAGAGAGAGAGAGAGATTTTATTGGGGTATCTTCCATA